AGAATATGTAATGCTGCAGATATCTATAAGAAATTCAAAATTTGAGGTACTGCAAGTGGTTGAGTAGTGTATTTGAGAGGACGTACAGCCACATCCCCCTGCCCCCCCGCTCCCCACCAGCTCGGAGTCAAGCTCCGCCACTGTTAAGTGCTCTGAGATGCTACTCTGCGTGGAGGGCACTACATAAGTGCAAGTTGTTGCTGTTGTTGAGTAATTGCAATAGCAATCACTTCAACAGAGGTTCCGTACTGACTTTGTGAGGTGGAGTGAATATCCATGCAGGTTAACACAGTCAGCACCTGAGGTGAGAAACACTGACAGGAGCCAAGCAGGAGAGCCTCTCCGACTTATAAAAATAATCCTTGCATCTGATATAGTGCCTTATTATGTCTTTGAGACGTCTCAAAACGCTTCACAGAATATACTGTAAAGTGAATTGACTGTATATTTTGTGGGCAAAACGCGGCAGCCAATTGCGCACAGTAGCGTCCCACAACAGTCATGGATTGAGTAACCAAATTATTATTTTTTTAAAACGGTTTCTTTAAGGGATTATTAACCCCGGAAAAGCCATCCGTCAATCGACTAACAACTGGGTTCCTGCTTACTGCTAGGTAAACAGAGGTGTGTGGAATAAGAAAACTTGCCTAACATTTCGCCCTGCCCGGGAATCAAACCCAGGTCTTCTCGCTTGCGAGGCGAGTGCTCTAACCACTAAGCTACAGGACTTGTCACGATTCAACTGAAGAAAGTTGTGAGCTTATCCAGAACTAATGTGTACTGAGGATAGAGCCCCGAGGTACACTGCATGTCACTGTGCAGATGCAGGGTGAAAGAAAAGCAATCTTCCCAAAGGGTCTAATTAGTCTGGTATAACTCTGGACCTGTACCTTATTTTTGCTGGGGATGGGTGAGGGGTCTTGCCTGGAGCACTATAATTATATTGACAGCCCATCTAATAGTGTATTTGAGCAGACTGTGTCTTCTAGTGTGGTCTACAGAGTGTACATTGTGGTATTGCTGGAGTTTTACCAGCAAAAATAACAAAGCTTGCCCTTGGGGGCACAGAAGAGGAATACAGGCAGCAGTCCCAAGTATGTGTAAACATTGTCTGGCATGCTTCATGATACTTGCCTATTATTCCATTATTTTCATTCAATAAAAATATTTCCCTTCTAATATCGGTCGGTGAATAAGAAAAATACGAAAATTCAACATTTCAAAAGACTTGTTAATGCTGTCAGCATTCTTGCAGATTGAATTACTTACACCTCTGTGCAATATCTTCATGGTTGATTCAATGTGTGAAGGAACTTGAGGTGGAGCAGAAGGTGGAGCAGTAGTAGTTGGTGGAGGAGAAGGTGGTGGAGGAGAAACAGAAGCGTTTACTACTACTTTAAATGGTTGTGGTGGTTGCTCACTGACAGCAGTTACATTTTTTTCTGGTATTGATGGAGCATTCGCTGAAGTGGGATTAAATAAAAGTGTTACATCAATCAATATTGTTACGAGAGACAATTAAAAGCAGAATGCGATTTTTAAATTTAGAAAAGTATTATTTGAAAATGGGTCTTAAGAGTCCTGCATACAACGTTATCCCGCAAACAATTAACAGTACAGTCTACCTTATACAATAACCCACATCCCCTATGCACAGTGAGGCAGCCTTGGGGGTGGGGGGGGAAAGAGTATGCAATTGCTTAGTAGAACGACACGCTCCCAGGATGGAGAGTTGGATCTGATGGCTGCCGTAGGAATGGCCACAGGAATTAATTGCCTCCAAATCCCACAACATTTACATAAACTTTCCATAGAAACGATTTAAATTGTACTACTACAGTTCAAAGAGTTTATTATTATTATTATTTTGCTGTAATCAGTGCCAGTCGAAATTAGCATTTGAGGGCAGCCACGATCGTGTAGTGGATAAAGCTGCAGTTTACGGACCATACTCTTGTCCGTCTCAGCTGGTGTTTCTTTGGGAGGATAAATTGGCCCCTGGTCTTCCCAGGGTTAGAAATAGAAAAGCAGTTTCTGCTCTTGGTCACTCTTCAGCCCCTTCCACTGGTTGTGCATGTATTTGGCAGCAAAGTGAGTTGATTTCAGCCTGAGCTGTGATACCCTTTCCAGTTAAAAAATGCCTAACATGCATTGCCCAGGTTCACACAGGTACCAACAAGTGCCTGTGGCTCTTCATCATAGCAAATGGCAGCAGACCAAGATACATAAGCTAGTTGGGAGAAACAAATCGTATAAAAATTGGACATACATTTTTTAAATGAAATTCGTCTCAGGGGATTGCATAGGGAGGTTAAGTTGGCGGGTAGGCTTCAGTCTACTCTAGAAGATGGTGGCAATGCGTTCAACACATTGAGTAGTTGAGTTCCACAGCAGACTGCTTGGAATTATGATGAGCAAGTTGGATCCATTCATTTTTTTAAGACTGAGGTGAACAGATACTTGTTAGGTAAGGGTATCAAGGGATAAGGGGCAAGAGCAGGTAATTGAAGTCGAGGTACAGTTCAGCCGGAACAGGCTCAAGCAGCTGAAAGGCCGACTCCTGTTTCTATATAGTTCTTAGTAAAGCCTATTCATCTTGTAAGAGGGAGCAAAAGCAAGTGGGCTATCTTGGTCTTTACTGGTTTCGATGGTGCCTAGCAAAAAAGAGAACATAACAGAATCATTTCATCTGCCTGGCTTGCTGATCCAACACCTGAGCAAAGCAAGTCCACAGTGCTCCAGGGTGATGTTGAGGAATGAAGAGGTAGACATGGCACTGAGAAAAGAACTCTTCCCACTCAGCTTCTAATAACCCTGCAAGCTAACACCCTTAATTGATATTCTGGACAAACAGAAGGAACATAGAAATAAATGTACCAGACTATTGCAGATGATCTGTCTTGGCCCAGGTTCTGCTTCTTTTGAGTAATACAGTCCACATATTACAGAATGCAATATAGTCACTACACTGAACAACAATTACCTGGGAAGGACATTTCAATGTTTTGACAATCTACGACTATATCAAATTAAATGATTATCAGATATTACAGATTACAGGAGGTATAGGCCCAAGCCCAAACACAAGGGAACCAGACATTCTATGTTTTATTTACTTTTCTACATTCACATTCTCTTCAGTAGGAAAGGTCTGATTATCAATTAAGCTGCCAGCATGAACAGGAAATTATTGTATATGAAAAAACATTGCTAATCACCTCAAAATAACATCCCCTACATTTCAGATATGCATAAAGACATAAATTTCTATTTTGCTCCTTAGAGAATTCACTATGGCATCCTCAGCAAGTATATTAATATTTTCATGTAATTCAAGAAAATGCGTACAAAGGTTTCCATCCGTTATAAAAGATAAGCTTAAATTTCAGTTTATACAATTACATTTGTATAGCGCCTTTCACGTCGGGAGAATGTTCCAAGGCGCTGGGCAGTCAGGGATTTGGACCCAAGCAGGGGGCTTGAGATCAGGGAGGGTGGAGGGCAGGGAGGGTAGCCAAAGGCTATAATTATAGTACCGTGCTTAATTATATTGCTATAATTACATAGGCATGAAACAATTCCCCATTTTTAATATGCACATCTGCACTCAGCACTCAGTGGAGGTTAGACACTCGGCAAAAATTATATCTACTGCACCCTCAGAAAAGCAATTTATTCTACAGTACATCGTGCCAGTGTGTCATTCCAATTTCCACACCAAAGCACTTTAGGACCTCAACAAATGAGAGCTTCTTACCAACCACATCCATTTTATTTGGAATCTTTCCAGCCAGGACAGAAGGCAGTGTTCTTTTAAACAACCTGCACAGGTTTCAAACACAGGTACGAAAGAGAAAAAAATGTTCAAACAATACAATCGAATTATAAAGATTGATCACTATGACAAATTGTTTTTCTGCCAGAGGAAGTCTATATTTTGTATTAACTTATAAATATCTTGTGTTGGGTTTGTACTGCTGCCAGCTGACATTCCACAGAAAAGCAAATCTGTGTGCGTAAGGTTTACGCTCAATTAAACATAGACAGTGAGCAGATTCTTCCTACCTGAAGGCAATGTGATTAGAATGGAAGAGAAGGTAAAATAAAAAACAAATGCCTCCATGTTGACAGTACAGCTTCCGTGGCCCTAAAGTGTTCTTGAGTCCGGCCCCCCCCCCCCAACCTCCCCAGTTGATAAAATTGGTATGGATTATATAGGTCTGTTTTTGCATCAACATCTTTGGGACATTATGACTCCACAATAATACGACATCACTAACCTGTATTTTTGCATCTGACAAAACACTCTTACACTATGACATCACTACTGAGCTCACAGACTGCCACAATACAAGTTCAATAGCCTTTCCCTTGTTACTGCGTTTTCTCAGGTGAGTGAATGCTATTAAACAATGGCATTGGATAGAACTACTATATAGAATGCTCTCTTGACAGTAGCGTTAACTATATTAAATTGTAAGAAAAAAAGCTAACAACATTCAATTTGCAAGAAGAAACCATGTATCCTTCTGGCTGATCACAAGGCAATAATAATGCTGGGAAACGTTTCAGAGATGTTTTCTTCATTCAAATTGATGGGTGTTTATAGAATCATATAACACAGAAGAAGGCCATTCAGCCAATTGTGTCTATGCCTCCTCTTTGAAAAGAGCTACCCAAATCAATCCCATTCCACCGTTCTCTCCCCATAGCCCTGCAATCTTGTCCTCCCCAAATAATTATCTACATCTCTCTTAAAAGTTGTTATCAAATCGGCTTCCACCACACTTTCAGGCAACGCTTCCAGATCCGAACAACTTGCTGTGTGAAAACATTTCTCCTCATGTCCTCTGTTTTTTTTAAACAACTATTTTAAATCGGTGCCCTCGGGTTACTTACCCAGACGTGGAAAGTGGAAATTGTTTCTCCTTATTCACTCTGTCAAATTCCCTCATAAATTTGAAAACGTAACTCCCCAAACGATAGTTGTCACAAAGACCTTTCCCAACTAACCAGCAACAGCTTTTATTGCAACAAAACTAAAACATTTAAAATAAAACTAACACCATAACATTCTTGATACATAAAACCTTCAAGAAATTTGATCAATCTTTGGAAGTTTTAATTGACATATTAAAAAGATTTAACACATAAATAGCTCTGTTGAGCCAAATCTCTTAACATTTGTAGTTGAATATTAAAATAATAGCTTCCCACTCATTCTTGCAGGAAAGTTAAGGGAGTCACCATCAAATACCAAAAAACAAAAACAGAAGTCGCTGGGAACACAAGATGACCTGTGAAATTTCCAGCATTTGCAGTATCTTGTGTTTTTTTTTATCTTCAAATATCAGCATCTTTCTCTACAATAGTCAGAACCTATGCATTAAACATACATTTTATCTTACTTTAAACCAGAAATAAACTATTCTACCACTAAATACTGTACAGCAATTCCGATATATTTCCGAGAGGGTGACCTGTGAAATTCTGCCCCTGTAAAGAGTTTTGTTTTCACTGCTGATTCTATCAACATTCACAGTCGAACAACAGAGAAGGGTGGAGCTTGCCAGGTCAAACATAGCCAATCCTGTAAAGAAAAACGTTAAATGAAAACTCAGCACTTTTTGGGGAAATACATATTGCATACTAAAATGTAGAGCGGTAAATACATTTACGTGCATCTCCTAAGGTATCTTTTAAAAACAGGAATCATGCTGGAAAACATTTCAAACAAACTAACAATTGCCAAAAAAAAACAAATTCAGAACCATAAGCAATGAGAAGCAACCATAGTCCAATGTGAACTGCTTCAGTGCCTTATGTACTTCATTCAATCAGACAGACTTTTAGAATCATTTCTAATATACTTTACAATATATTCTGTGAAGAGCTTTGAGAGGTCTCAACGACATGATAAGGCACTATATCAAACGGAAGGATTATTATTATTATTCAGGAACAAATATAACAGCTTACCTTTGTTTCGGCAGCAAACTAGCATTAACAATCTTCAGCTGCTGGACTTTGGAAGTCGGTAAACTCCCCCAGAGTAAACTAGTTGCTGGTCCTGTACTTTCCTCTGTAAAAATATCTGGAGCTCTTTCATATCAATCTCTGCCATCACCGGCCCAGTCATCACAAACATCTTGAGCATGGTATGAATACGTTCCAGTGCCAGGCTCTCGAGGTTGGTTAGCATTCCCTGAATGTAGGTCCAAAAAAGCTGTGAAGAACAGATTAGTTGCCATTATTTTAAGACCTCGGAAAAAAAAATCTTTAGGTGGAATAGCCTCAGTTCGCTAAAAGCAATCATAGAACAAAAAAGAAACTTGTTATAATTGTCATGATTAATAAAATATAAATGAACAGTTATAATAGATTGCAAAGATAATTAATCATAAAATGCAGTATTAAAATCAAAATACCAATACACGGTATTGATTGTATTCTGTAGAATACTAATGTGTGTATTTTTTATTTTGGTCAGTTGGGTATCTGACACATGCGGAAAAACAACACCACGCTCATGAGTATCAAAACCAGAGTTCCATGCATCCCACCTCTACATTCCTATATTGAAAAGACTCTTTCTGGAATCCACACCGTTGCTACTTGTCCAGCTAGTATCATCCTACTTGTTAGGGCTTTAGTTCACAGGGTTAACAGGAGCTGAGTGGGAAGAATCCCTGCCCCCAGTGACCGACCTAATAATAAGCTAGGCTAACTGGTCTGTCAACAGCTATGCCCTGAATGATGCAGAACTGCCTGGCTCAGAAACCAGTCTACCAACACAGACACAGAGGGTTGACTAGATTCCTTTGCCTAACCTAACATGTCACCCTAGAGTTCAACTCCAAGGAGACCTAATTTACCAGGGATAACAGGAGCTGAGTTTTATTGTTCTAGTTTTGTTGAGTGTTGAAATAAGTACCTGTAATTCCTCCTCTTTCTGATCAGCCTGGGAAGCCATGGCTGAGTCTCCCTCCTCATCACTGTCAATCAGAACCATTTTTTCCTGCCGATCTCTCTGTTCCTGCTCAATCACGGTAAACGTGTCAGTGGGGTCCTCTTTCAGAACACCCTGCTGCTGCCAGAGGGCAATTTTCCTCCTCAGGGCAATGACAGGAACTTTAAGTACATCACTGAGATCATCCAGAGTCCATGTATCTACAGATACAGAAGTCAAGAAGTTATCTAAAGTCAGGCCAAAGCTTGAATGTAACACTTGCCAGCACTCAAAATCAATTTGACTTCACTTCAGTGAGTCAGAATTCCATTCAAAAATATTTCTTCAATTCCAATCAAGTTTTGTTGGAAGATTTTGCTAGTTAAAGAAGAGTTTTGGACAGTTTTTCCTTTACCTTAACAATAACATTTTGGCAATCAAAAATCTTATCAGTATTTTCAAGGAAATTGAATCATTCATCCATCAACTCTACCAGAATTTCCATAATATGCCTACAATATTTCTTCCCAGATTTCATCCTTAATTTTCCCCACCTTCTCCTGAATTCATCACTACCACTCTGACCCAACATGCAATTCACAGGTAAACTATCTTCCCTGGTTTGTAACTTTTACAATAGTAATTTACATTTTTATAGCACCTTTCACATCGGGAGGAAGTCCCAAAGCCCATTGAAAGATGACTGAAAGCACGCCCAAAGAGGTACATTTTGAGACGTACCTTGAAAGAGGGAAGGGAGGAAACTTGTTTTTTTGGTCTCAAGGAACTTGAGAAATAAATTAGAGAAAGTAGAAGAAAACTCATCTAGATGCGATCGAGCAGAACAAGCTTGCAAAGGTTTCAATTACAAATACATAGCTGATTAAGAACTCTTTCCTGTGTAACGTAACAAAAAGGAAACTCACTGAAAACGATCAAGGACAACATTCACAATACACGAACAAAATAATACCTACTCTTCTCCTGGAAATGCATAATGATGGCAGCATGTACTGGGGAGACGGTCACAGATAAGGTTCGATCTGCCAACTCAATTTCCAGGTCTGCGTTTCCGAGGTGAGGTTTCCAGTTCAGTGACCTCATTGCCTGAAATTAACAATAATAATAATAATCCTTGCATTTGATATGGCACCTTATTACGTTGTCAAGATGTCTCAAAACGATTCACAGGATCCACTGTAAATTGGAGTGTCTGCGTATTTTTGGGCGAAATAAAAATTAAAATTACAGCTCTAAACGGCTCAATAAAGTTAACAAAAATAGGCTGTTTCCACTGGTTGGAGAGTACATAACCAAAGTACACAAATATAAGATAGTGACTAGGGTATCAAAAAGCAAATTTAGGAGGGTAGCAAAATTGTGGAACTCTCAATATGTTTTTTGGGGGGAGAGAAGAGAGAACCAATGCAGTCAAAAGCAGTCAAGGATTAGCACTCCAGATCACAGTTTATATTATACACCAATACAATAAATGATGCATAATAATGAATAATAATAATCATCGCATTTGATATAGCACCTTATCACATCTTTGAGATGTCTCAAAACGCTTCACAGAATACACTGTAAAGTGTAGTGATTGTTGTGTTTTGTGGGTGAAACGTGGCAGCTAATTACGCACAGCAGTGTCCCACAAACAATCGTGGATTGAGTGACTTTTTATTTAAATTGTAAGGATTATTACCAAGAGTACAAGATACTCAATTTGAAAAGACGGGGTACTTACTTTTAATTTCTCATACTTCTTGGCGTAAGCATCCATTGATTCCTTTACTTCAGTAGGGAGCTCCAGTTTCTCTTCTTTCAGAGATGGCCAGAATTCACCAGACAGGATCATGGCATTCAAATGCAATGAAGGGTCTTGGTCCTCCTCGTGAATATGGCTGTTTATCCGTCGCGAGTCTGCCACATCCTATCGTGTAAAACCGAGGGTTATTGGACACAAAAGGCAAAACTACGTTGGTCAACACAATGCATGACTACTGATCACAGGATGACCATAGGAAGGGACTGCAGTTGTGTTTGTTGTTTCCAAAGTGATTTGGTAAGGTGTAAAAAAGGATTGAAATGTGTTCACTGGCACAAATTGTTCCCTTTCAAATATATACATTAAACAACTTACTCTCTCAATCCTTTCAACTCACCTTTAACATCACCTCACAGAGATGCATCTGTGCCTCTCCAAAGCGCAGCTTCAGTAGCTCCAGATTTCGAATCTCCCTGCAGTGAAGAAAATGCCATGTTATGATTGCTGCATCACAAGGAGCTTAAAAAGTTGATCATTTTGACCATTTTGCATACCAAAATATGCAATATTTTTGGTACAGCATCTCTCAGACAGAGACCAATGCAATTCTCAAAAATATCGAGAATTGTTGGCACAAAACGCTCAAAACAGAAGACAGCCAGCTTTAAATACTTACAGTGCCCATTATTAACATCAGCTAAAATGTCATCGACAACTAAATACTAATAAATTCATAGCATGACAGATCTGCCCTAATGAGGTATCAGGCAGCCCAGTTATCTGAATGTATAATTTCAGAGATGTGAAAAATGCTGAAACAGTAATGCCACCAAGACACACACAGCATAAATAGACATTTTAAATTTTCCTGTGGTTGTTCTGGTTGAACATGTGACAATGCAAGTACAGCGTACCTGCATGTGTTGTAGTTGAAATGTTGGAGGATTCGGTCTGCCAACAGAGTGCGGTACTCATTGATAAACAATTCTTTGCTGCCATAAATACTGACAAGAAGGGTGATAATGTCAGAAGATCTTCGTTTAGAACCTGAATTACCTGAAAATAAGTTAAGGATAAATAACTTTAAAGAATCCTCAACAATAAAGAATACTGTAGTACTGTAGTGGTAATTCCAGTCAATAAAATTTACGAAAATAGAGAACATACTGAGAGCTTTCGGTTGACCTCTTAAGTATTATCTATTTCACAAGTTGTTAAAAATTTGCTTCTAGTCAACCAATGACTCACATGGTGTGCCACAATAAACACAGAAGATCTTAGCAAGTCTCAATTTTGACCACTATCTTATGCTGGGCAAGTTTTGTCAGCCAAGCAACAATTGAAACACTTAATTGGTAGCCATCCATCCACCAGTTGAGGAGGAAGGAATGAATGTGTAGGTAAATCATGCCAGGATTCCATTACTGAGAACAATCCAGCATTGTTCATTATGATTATTTTTGATCCTTCAAAAGCCAGCTACCAAATTCCCACTTCTTGACATTTCAATATTACCTGGATCTGCATCTACTGGGTCTGGAACCCAATCCTCTGGATCAGACATGTCATCATCACTGTCATGTCCATGCTCCAAAGTGATGGATCTGCTTTGGATAGCTCATTTGCCAGATCACTGGACCCTTCTGAATCGTCAGTCAAACCTGCCACGATCTGTCTCACAGTATCATCACGTGTTCTATGTGGGTAAAATAAACAAGTAAAAGTCAATACTTTAAAACCAGACACATTCCAGTAACAAAAAAGTACACAGTAGAAACAAGATAAACTTATTCAGGTCACTCAGTGATATAGATAGAATCAGAGAATTATACAGCACAGAAAGAGGCCATTCGGACCTTCGTGTCTGTGCCAGCTCTTTGAAAAGAGCTATCCAACTCAATCCCACTCCCCTGCTCTCTGCTCATAGCCCTGGAAATTTGTCCTCCCCAAGGTTGCTTCTGGAATCTAATAGCTTTTTTAAAAAAAAAATCCAGACAGAAACAAAATTGCACAATAAAGACATTTAGGAATAACTAAGGAGAAAATGAAAATAGGATACTGCTCCACAACCAATTGATTGAGTGCACCCAGTCTAACTTATTTATTCCTTATAGTGGCTTGGGATATGCATGAAGAAGTCTGCTTTCCTCCAGCAGAGAATCTAGACCTCAAGCCCTATATTCCAGTGGTCTTCTTCATCCATTCCCGAAATTTATAATAATCTGTGCATTTATGCTAGTAAAATAGCACAAAAAATGGAAGTAGCTCAATTGATCACGACATATAAGCTTTTTCATCATTATCTTTGTTGACAGAATCATTCAGCATGAACGTCAACTTCTGACATTAAACCAAATAAGGATATTTTAATCAATATCAGGTCCGATAAGTCTTGCAACAACATTCACTCAAAACTAAGACATTTTAAAACTAGGTGAAATCTGTAAAAGAGGGGAGTCTTTTCACAGTAACAAAGTAACACTTAATTCCCCATGATAAATAGGCCACTTAAACGTTCTATGCAGATCATAATAAAATCTGAGGGGTCATAACCTGAACTGAAGTAATTCATAAACTGCTAGATACTAATTTTTTTGAAATTGCAGACCCATAAAGTGTAATTTCAACAACAACAAATACAACAACTTTCATTTATATAGCTCCCTTCACTTGGGGTAGCATTGCAGAGCACTTGACAGTGACCCCGAGCCAGGCGGAAACTCCAACATCATTCTTTCACAAATAAACAAAATAAATATCTTCTACATTGAATATCTTAATAGCTTTAGCAACAGGGTTAAGTTTTGCTGAGTTTCTTGCCCAGTAAAATCTTCCAAGGTCTGAGCAATGCAAAAAAAATCTCAGAAGTGGTCTTTTATCTCCCATCTGAGCCTCAAAAGATATTTAAAGAAGCCCTTCTTCATATACATTCCCCAAACAGTTAACTCTTGCCATTGCCTAATTATTGGCCAAGCTCCGTTAAACAGTTTATTTCTATAAACCAGAATTTACTGGATGTTTGCATTCTAAACTGCTGTGACAAGTCAGGATTCATTCAGTCTAATCAGACTTTGTTTTTCCATTTAAAGTCGAAGAGATGTATGTTTGAATACCTTAAATACTTGCGGACTGGCTCACAAACCACTTCCAAAATAACCATGGATGGGTCCAACTCACGCAAAGCCTTGATTGCAGAGATATACAGTGTTATTACATCAGACGTGTTCACTCCTGAAAACAAATGCTACATTGTTAACTGTCCAAAATGTTTAAGCCAATGTTTACTCTCTTTATATCTTATTTATATCTTATTGATCACAGCACTGTACTAGAACAGTAATCATACAGCATGAAACCAACGTGCTTTGGGTTGCTCAAAAAACATGAATACATAAAAGCATTGTGTAAATATTCAGAGAATCTCCACACTTCTACTCTAAATGCATTAATGGCTTCTACTAACAAACAGTTCAGATCACTGATGGGTATACAGCAAGCTTGTGTTTGATCCTCACTTATTCAATTGTAGAATTCAGCTCAATAAATCAGTCTATTTCTGAACTTTATACAACCAAAATGCTAGTTTTTAAAAAATAAAACTCACATATTTCTAAAATTATGCAGGAATGATTCAGGTAAACAAAACATGAAAAGGAGAATCATTATTGTCATTTCCAGCACCTTGCGATATGAAAGATATGATATAAATTTAATTTTGTTGCTGCTGTTGTTGCATAACATGTTGGATACCAACACATTAAGACCACAACAAATATTTGATTTGGGTGGTCATTTGTTAATTTTAACTACCAAAATCTGCTACTCAAAAACTCACCTTTTCTTATCCAGCAAATAGAAGATACAGGAAACGTTAACAACCTTGAGGCTGAACTCAATCAAGTACATACCTGGGTGGAGAAGCCTGGTTTCTAGGGCAGTTTTCAATGAGGTTAGCAGCTGTTGCCTTTGGTTGGTCCTTTCAAGGCATATTTTCAGATCTTGCAAAGCTGCCTTAGATTCTGGGAAGTCTGTGGTTCAAAGTAAAATACAAGAAAAAATACAATAACTTGCTTTTATATAGCATCTTTCATGTGGTGTGGTGTCTTGAAATGCTTGAAATTAGCAGCATTCAGGGATAAAATTGAGTTCTTAAAAATTTATGAAATCAGATCATCAGAACTCAATTACATATAAATGGTATTACAATTATAAGCAACTGCCAGCCTGCTTGCATTGGTGTAAGAATTTGTAGACTGATTGCACAAAGAGAAAATAAGTTTTTACAACTAAAAAATACACTGCACATCAAGTCTCAACTCAGTGAGGGCGGGGGGAATTAACCTTTTCCTGTTTTGTTACAATCTTGAATGCACCGCCTGAAAGGATGGCAGAAACAGTTTCAATAATAACTTTAAAAAGGGAATTGAATACATACTTGAAAAGGAAAAACGTGAAAAGTTATGGGGATAGTGCGGGGAACAGGACTAATTGGATAGATCTTTAAGGGCCAGCGCAGGTTTGATGGGCCCAAGATACATACCACGAATAATGCTGAAAAGTTCATCAATCCTCATATTAGCATAGACCTGATAGAGGAAGAACTGTAGGTGTATTCTCCAACGCTGTAACGTGTTGCTTGTCGGGGAAGCTGCTGCTTTGCTAGGTTTTTGCAAGAACACCATGCTCAGCCAGCAAATGACCTTCGACTCCAACCACTGATCAAAAAAAGGACACTTGAGCTACCAACTCAAAAACATTCATTTTCTTGACCCCAATTGCTTATTCTCTTTGGTCTTATTAACACATCTTATTTTTCACCCAAAAAATACACAGTCAATATACTTTACAGTATATTCCGTGAAGCGCTTTGAGCCATCTTGACGACGTGATAAGATGCTATACCAAATGCAAGGATTATTATTATTATCACTACATCATCTAGAAAAGTAAAGACGCAAGAACATGGCTCCAACATCTGTAAATACTTGCTATTTATGCACAAATGGAAAGCTTACATATACACATAATAGTTAACTGCCTTATTCAGCTGCAAGTAAATCAACTATTTTTTAAAAACACCAACCATTAACTATATTAGCTATGAAATATCTAGCTGTTTAGCAGAATAAAGAAAGTATGCTTACCTCCTCAAGCTGGGAGAGGAATGAGTTTTCATACTCTCCACGACACAGTCTGCCAACATGCTCTTCTATCATTTTATGTAAAATGGTGGTGATGGCGTCAGCACTAATTCTCTCCAATAAGTTCAACGAGTGTCTGATAACAGCCAACAAACATTAAGTACAATTACTGCTTTTGGATTTCATTGAACTGTAGGCACTGTCCTATGTGGGACAGCTTTACGATTGGACAAAGTAAAGAAAATAGTTTCTGAATCATGAGGTTTTATGAAATGTTCTTAATTCCAGACATCTTTAAAACATCTGATATATGAAAGTGAAAATAAATAACCAGTATAAAAAAAAGTTAGCTGGGTAATAATTCAAGAGTATCCACTTCCAGACATTGAGAAACTCAAAATTATACTAATCGATGAATCAACTTTCATGGTAGCCTTGGAACCCCACCCCCAGAAGGCTCAACAAGATCGAAGATTCTGAAACTACTACAATAGTTCATTTCAATTCCCACGTCCAATTTTCAGGAGATAAGTACAGAAGAGTTTGTCATAAATAAATACTTTAACAAGTATTATACCTATAATATCAAGTTGTGATTAATAAATGTGTGAGTGCCATCTAGTGCCAGATCATCAATATCACAGCCAATTCTGTAAAGCGCTTTGAGATATCTAGAAGACGTGAAAAGCGCTATATAAAATTCAAGGATTATTATTATTATTAATTTTGAGTGAAATAGAAGAGAAAAGATGTGCGAGAAAGAAGGGTAAGGGAGGAGAGAGAACAAATGTAAGAACGAGAGGAAGTGGGAGAGAAGGGAAACAAGGATGAGTAAAGAGGGAGATAAAAAAGCTAAAACATAGAAGAGAGTGAGTGTCACACACACGGAAGATACATGGAAGACACACAAGATATACAGTGTGAAACAGGATAGAATGAGTGTGAGGAAAGAGAGATGGGGCAGAGTAAGTGAGTTTAAGAATTTGCAAGATAGAGATGAAACTTAGGCAAGTTTCCTTACTCCACATGCCTGTCTACCCAGCAGTAAGTAGGAACCCGATTAGTCGATTGGCAGACGCTTTCCGGGAGTAATAATGTAGAATGCTATAAAAGAGGGCAAAAGGCAAGAGAATCACAGAAAAAATAAACATGACACTTACAATACATTATTGACTTGGGTAAACTGCTCCACTGCAGTGACACACCAGCACTGGTCTTTCTCTGAATTGCAACCCATGCAGTGTAGCACTTCCGTATCATCCACAGCACTTTCATCTTCCTCTTCACTCATGCTGTCTCCACTCCGCAGATTCTTGTCTCGGTGTACATAAATACTAAACGCACGTGTATAGAATTCATAAATAATCTCTTGAAAGGACTGGGTAGTGGAGAAGAACAACACAGCTTTAAACATGTTGTAGACTTTATCTTTCAATGTTCCAGGCCCTACACTGTTTATTAACCCTGCTTCTTCCCATATCTCCAAGTGCTTAAGACTGCACAGATACGATGCCAGCCGCTTATCCACCATGCAGAAGGCATCATACAGGAGTTTTGAACGTTGTTGTTCTGTCACCATGTTCTCTCTTTGTGTGAGGAAGTCCCAGAATTCTGGTGCAATCTTCCTCTGAAGGTCAATCTGCAAAACCTCCATGAACCATTCCACCACCACCAAGTGCAAATTGTAACGCTGCAAAACTTCCAGGGCAGCACGCATCTCATCCTCTGGAAATTCATCACTGCTTTCCAAACCAGGAGCTTCCTGAAATTGAAATAATTACAATACATTAAAATATTGTTACAACACTTACTATTATTATTATTATTATTTGCTCCCCATCATTCAAAACCTCTTCACGACTAAATTCCCACACCTGCAATATCCCTCCACACCCTCAACCCTATACACACCTGCCCTTTCCCTCAGATGAGGTGATATTCGTTGAGCCTAGTGCAGGAGAGGGCACAGGCTACAGCATTCTGGATGGTTCTGCTGCTTATGCAGCGAGGAACCCGGGTTGTCTGGCGAACTGAGCTTTCAGGTTTCTCCCACAAAATACACAGTCAATTGACTTCACTGTATATCCTGTGCAGTGCTTTGAGATGCCTCAACGACGTGATAAGGCGCTATATCAAATTGCAGGGATTATTATTATTATTAAAACATAAGTTTAAAAAAAAAGTATTTTTGTGCTTTCGGGCGCCGCCTCCCTCCTATTACCTTCGCCCCTCTCCCCCGGCTCGGGCACAAGGCTTCCATTCCTCTAGAAAACAACATTAACAGCAACAGATGACAAACGCGCACCCGAGCTGGTGGTTGGGATCAGGAGGGGTGACGGGCGGGCGGGGGGAGGAAGGTGACCGAACGACGCGGTCGAAGAGGAGGGTGTTAAGACGGGTCTTGAAGGAGGCGAGGGAAGGGGTGAGGCAGAGGGACTGCGGGGTGAAGCTCCAGGGGGATGGTGGTGTGGGGGGGGAGTGGGGGGTGAGGGAGGGGAGGAGTGTGGGGGGTGAGGGAGGGGGGGAGTGGAGGGGGAGGATGGGGGGGTGTGTGGGGGGTGAGGGAGGGGGAGTGGAGGGGGAGGATGGGGGGGTGTGTGGGGGGTGAGGGAGGGGGGAGTGGAGGGGGAAGACAGGGGGGGTGTGGGGGTGAGGGAGGGGAGGTGTGGGGGGTGAGGGAGGGGGGAGTGGAGGGGGAGTGTGGGGGGTGAGGGAGGAGGGAGTGGGGGGAGTGTGGAGGGTGAGGGAGGAGGGAGTGGGGGGTGAGGGAGGGGGGAGTGGAGGGGGGAGGATGGGGGGGGGGCAGAGATGAAAGCCGCTGAAATACGTGCAACATAAGTTGGTAATTAACACCACCCTCACCAGTCCGAGGGCCGCTGCGGGCACGAGGCCGGTGCTGAGGCGGCTCCAGGCCGCGGACAGCTGCAGCTCAACCGACTTTCCAACCGCCGCCATCCCTCACGCCAACGGCCGCCCGGGACGCATGCGCACTTCCCCTGCCCGAGCGCCCGGCAGAGGGCACTGCGCATGCGCACTTCCCCTGCCCGAGCGCCCGGCAGAGGGCACTGCGCACGCGCGCTTCCGTCACCGTCGCCAACGAGCGAGTCCGTTAAGCGTTAATCGCCCGAATGCCCCTTACAACCCGTTCAGCCATCGGCCTTATCACTCACATCGCCTCCGCTCTTCTCTTCCCCCCTCCCCTCTTCCCCGGGTTCAAACCCAAGTGACCCGGCTCATGATATAAAGCGCAATCGTCCCTCTGGACAAAGCCGTGCGGGGGGGGTGGGAAAGAGAGGGGGGGTCTGTTGCCATGGCAGCAGCCGGTCGCAGAGTAAATGACGCGCACCGGGCTGCCCAAGCCGTCGCGGGGTGATGACGGAAGGGCCAGCACTTTGAGCGGTTTGTTCGTCCGTTACCGGAGAGACGGGGGCGGGTGTCAGCCCGAGAGGGACCGACCGACCGAGTTGAGAGCAGAGGGAGGACATATTCCGGCGGGAGATGACCCAGCAGGGAGCCACGCTGCAGTCCTACAACAACGAGTTGGTCAAATGTGAGGAAGGGGCTCGATTTTGTTTGTGGGGGGGGGGGGGGGGGGGCAGAGAGGGAGGGGGGAGAGAGCGAGGGGGGGGAGGGGTAGAGACCGAGGGAGGGGGGGGGGGTAGAGACCGAGGGAGGGGGGGGGGGGTAGAGACCGAGGGAGGGGGCAGAGAGAGGGGGGGGGAGGCCGAGGGAGGGGGCAGAGAGAGGGAGGGGGCAGAGGGCAGGGAGGGGGGGGGAGGGGGGGGGGAGGGGGGGCAGAGAGGGGAGGGGGCAGAGGGCGAGGGGGCAGTGGGGGAGGGGGCAGAGAGGGGAGGGGGGCAGTGAGTGAGGGGGCAGAGGGCGAGGGGGCAGTGGGGGAGGAGGCAGAGGGGCCAGAGAGAGAGGGGGGCAGAGAAGCGGAGGGGCTGCAGAGGGAGGGGATTGCAGAGGGAGGTGGGGGCAACAATCTATAATATTTATAACAATAATAATCCTTGCATTTGATATAGCGCTTTTCACGTCTTCTGGCCGTCTCAAAGCGCTTCACAGTTCCTACTCACTGCTGGGTAAACAGAGGCGTGTGGAGTAAGGAAACTTGTCCCAACGTTTCGTCCCGACCAGGAATCGAACCCGGGTCCCTCTCGCTTGCGAGGCGAGCGCTCCAACCACTGAGCTACAGGACTCCACGCAAACTTACGTTTACATAACAGCTTTCACTTCGGGAGGACGTCCCCAAGGCGCTGGCACACAGGGAATGCCTTTATTAATAATAATACTTGTATTTGATATAGCGCTTTTCACGTCTTCTCGACGTCTCAAAGCGCTTCACAGAATAGACTGTAAAGTGAGTTGACTGTATATTTGTGGGCAAAACATGGCAGCCAATTGCACACAGCAGTGAGTGTCCCACAAACAGTCGTGGATTGAAAATGATCAATTTATTATTGTTTTTGGTTTTGGAGGGATTATTATTAGGCTCTGTGTGGAGTAAGGAAACTTGCCCAAGGTTTCGCCCTCTGCCTGGAATTGAACTCCGGTGTCTCGCTTGCAAGGCGAGTGCTCTAACCACTAAGCTACAGGACTCCACTTCCATTTGTGTCAGCCTAGCTCAGCGGGTGGTGCTCTCCCCTCCGGGGCAAAGGTGGTGGATTCGAGCCTTCTCCATGCTGGGGAGCTCACAGTCCAAGCTGATACACCAGTGTAGTGCAGGGGGGAACACTGTATTGTCAGAGGAGAAGTTAAACCAAGGTACTGTACCACCTGTGCCAGCCCACATGTACATTAAATGCACCTTTCAAGTCGGGAGGACATCTCAAAGAACTTCATGTGGTTTATTCTAAGCGTAGTAACTATCATTTGTTAGCAATTGCTGAGATCGTTTGATCGTTTCTGTCCTAAAATATCAATATTGTTTATTTATAGGTGTGAGCATCTTTTGTAATGTGTAAAATAAACCCCATATGCAAGTCATTGTAATGTCTGAAAGGTGAGCTGGTTATTTTTATTTATGGTCAGGTACATTTTTGCATTGGGTTTCTCTGTCATGGCCAGTGCACTGCCTTGTTTCCAAAGCAACGGCATTAAAAACAGTACTGTTCAGTACCTATCAATGAAGCATAGTACTTTCTGATTGAGAAAGGATTGGGGGAGCTCTGTCAGTAAGTTATAGCACAGCCGGTGATGATACAGTGCTGTTTAACGTAACCGCAGACTGTTGTAACAGGTATTGAGGATCTGTGTGCAAAGAGGGGACTGCTGACCCAACAGATCAACCAGGAAGAAGAGGAGAAAAGCAAACTGCAGAACGATATCCGCATTCTAACCGAGAAACTCGCCAAAGTCAATGAGAGCTTGGCACGCAAAATGGCTTCTCGAAATGAATTTGACAGAACCATTGCAGAGACTGAGTCTGCTTACTTGAAGGTGAGTGGCTGGTTTCTGTGGAGGTGTTGATTACTGTGTATACTTAAACATGAACCATAAAAGGAGGCCATTCAGCCCATCGGGTCTGTGTTAACTGCTACCTGGCTGGCATTCTGCATAACATAAGAATTTGCTCGGCAAAAGAAGACCAAGGTCCAACCAGTTCGCCTTCCACCATCCTGGCAGTTGCTTGATGTTCCGTGTCCCAAACTATATATTGTATCCCAAGATATTATTTTCTGACAAATGCATCTAATTTGTTCTTGAAAGAATCGGCACTTTCAGCTTCCACCGACTCCCGAGGGAGCTTGATCCATATGTTTACTACTTACTCATGAAGTAGTGTTTCTGCCGATTTGTTCTGAATTAACCCCCCCTTCAATCACAGGCTGTGTCCTCTGTTTCTACTGTTTAGTACAAGATAAAATAACTCCAAATGGTCTACAGTATCTAGTTTCTTTAGAATCACCCCAAATCATTTTTATATTTAAATTTCTAAAGCGCCCTTCATCCAGTTCATCCAGTTTTCTAGCTCTCCACATCTGCTGTTTGTATTGCCTGCGCTTTTTTCCAGTTCCCTTTTCAACAATTCTATTGGGACGTCCTCCTGACGTGAAAGGCGCTTTATAAATGGAATCTTGTTGTTGTTATGTTGTTGAAGCAGCCTCAATAGCCACTTGTGATACTGAATCCCAAACCCTAACAACTCCCTGTGTTCCAGCCCTTCAAGCTTTTCCTATACGTACACCAAAGAAAGTAATTTGTAATAGGGCATACTTGCAAGGGCGAATTGAACTCGGCTGATCAGAATCCAAGTGGATAAATCACTTGGCTATTGAACCTTACAAATGCAAAAATTAAATGAAAAGATGCTTGTACATATTGAATAATGTGTAAATCAAAGAACCACCCATGCTTGATGGGTGGAAGTTATTGGGGCTACTTGTGAGTTGTTTCATTCACTGGACTGACTGATTTACAATCTAACTAAACAAAATTTCTATTGGAAATTGAACACAAAACAAACAATCTCATCTGCTATAAGTCCCTCTCCTGTGGTATTTGTGAGTTATGCAATTAGCATCACCAAATGATTTCTCGTGTGGAAACCACTTCCCCCAGAGTACAATAGCCTCATAATCTCTGCTGTCACTTAAGCATTCGCTGTCCGGATTAATTTTGTGCTGCATTCTTCATTCCTGCCATTTAATCCAAATAAGATTTAAAGATAGAAGGGGGGAAACCAAGACCACTGAGACTCGGCCAGTGTTTGAATTGGTTCATGCAGGCCTCACTTTTACACTGTATGTTTTCATAGCACTGTTGACCCGAGTGCTCTTTTGATTCATTTTTTTTCCTTGAAATCAGTGGATACTCTGAACATTGTACAAGCTGTACATCAGTTCAATAGCTTTTTGTTGATGGGCATTCACACCTCCCAGATCACAATAAAGGTTCAGATATATCCCCTTCAGCCTGTTTGATCTTATCCTCCTAGAATTCCATTAATCTTAGCATTGATTCAGTGCCCTAATCTCAACTATTCCTCCTGATAACCTCTTCGAAAAGTATTATGACGTCAGTGTCTGTCTTTTACTTGTGTTTTATAACCCTGAGCCTGTGCACTTTGTCCTGTTGCTTTGGCATATCTGATTATACTGAATTTACATTTCTCTTTCACGCTAAGCATATGAGATATCTCAACAGGCCAGCGCCCAAACCTGCGTGCCAGATAACATTTTTTTATTTTATCAGTTCATTGGACTTCCCATTCAATGGCTCTCTCAAACTTCCTGTATATCAGTGCTTTGTAAAACTCCTTCCTTGTCTCAGAGCCCTGGGGAAATTTGGGAATAGCTGTAGGTGTTTATCTGTCCTACATTTGTTTATTTTTTAAACCGCTTGAGCCTAGTTGGAGTTTTTCCGCCTAGTTACTCTCACTGTATATTTATGTTGATCAGAAATAATCCACACATTATATGCATTGTCATGTATGATACTGTCATTCCAGACATTTGCGTCTGGTGTTATTGTGATCCAATGAGAATGCAGAAACCAGAGAGTCTGTTGAAAAGAACCCCCTGAATGACATCTTGCTCTTTACTCCTTTGCACATTGTTTTTTTACCTTTTTGTACCCATTTAACCCTAGACAGTAGATGTGATGGTTAAACCTCACATAAGTTGTATAAGGACCATACACTACAGCTATTCCCAAATTTCCCCAGAGCTCTGAGACAAGGAAGGAGTTTTACAAAGCACTGATATACGGGAAGTTTGAGAGAGCCATTGAATGGGAAGTCCAATGAACCGATTTAAAAAAATAAAAAAAAAATGTTATCTGGCACGCAGGTTTGGGCGCTGGCCTGTTGAGATATCTCATATGCTTAGCGTATGGGACCATACACTTAATATGACTTGTGCAAAGTATAAGTTATGTCAAACTTGCATAGATTATAAACTCTTGAATGGGACTTGAGCAGATGTACGACTTAAGACGATTATACGATTTATACAGATCAGACTTATGCAAGTTTTACTGTGTTAGATTTTACAAGTAGCAGTATTGCCTAGTTGGTATAAGCTAAATAGCATATAAGATCCATTAATATACTGGTTTATTTGGGCTCCACAGATCCTGGAAAGCTCTCAGACTTTGCTGAATGTACTCAAACTAGAATCGGGACACCTGACGAAAGGAAATGAGGTCCGAACAAACCTGCCTTCCTCACAGCAATGAAAATGCACGGGTAATTCAGTTTCTAACACTGTACCACTGGTCATTCAACTCTTTCAAATAAACACCGTGATATCAGAATCGATGTACAAGATCCAGTTGTTTGTAGTTATGCTATTTTATATTTGCTTTACATAATAAAATATATATATATAATAATCTACAGAGCTTGTTTGCTTTGTGCCACATAAAACTATTTCAACCTGTACACCTGCCAATGTTATCATTAGTGCTGGTTTAGAGACGGTTTTTTACTGTGTATCTGGATTCAGTCAGAAGAAAGGCAGCTTGTGTTTGCCACATTGCCTTGTAGTTACATACAACACAGTGGTTCCAAATGTGGGGCTGTGGACCCACAACCTTCTGACCTCAAGGTGAGTTGGCTACCACCAACTGAGCCAGAATATATGGCAATTCATGCATAGATTTCAATTTAAATTGATGTCATTTTCTTATACAGATTTACAAAGAGCGTACAGCACGTAAACAGATCACTCGACCCAAAAAGTTTGTTCCTGTGTTTATACTCCACAGGAGCCTTCACCCATCCTTTACTCCCTCTTATACCCTTTTATTCCCCTCTCCCTCATGTGAAGGTTAGCTTTCTCTTGACTGCATCTATACTATCTGAATCAGCCACTGCTCCAGATAGTGAGTTTCACACTTTCACTACACTCTGTGAAGTAGTTTCTCCTAAATTCTCTTTTAGATTCCCTAGTCGTTATCTTATAGTTGTGTTCTCTGGTTACAGCTACCCAACCAGTGGAAACATTCTATTTATGCTAACCGAAACCATTTATAATTTTAAAACACTTCTATTGTCCTATATTAGATTTTGGTTGAAAATTGCCAATTGGATTATCATAATTATCAAATGACTTGTCAGCTCTTTGTATATAAATGATCACTGCTTGACCAGGGTTATAGAATAATACATTGTCTGATGTGTATGCGTGATCATAAACTGAACAGAAAAAATTTATTCAACTGATGGTAATTGATTGACCTGTGAGTTAGCCACGTTAGGAAAACAATTGTGGGTTTTAGTACAATCAGTAAGTTGAATTTGTTTCTGGTCCTGGTGTTTGTTAGGAGGTGCAGGTGAAAACACAACCACAAGAGGGTGATAATGCACTGAGAGCAAAGGTGAATTATGTTTGTACTGTATTTCAGATATAACCACTAGCCATGCTGACTATCATGATTACACTGATGTAGAATACAGATAGCTTTATACTGGATATTTCAGTTCACAGCCCGAATAATCATTTAATTGGACAATTCAACCAACATCTGAGCACCTTACACTGTGCATTGGAAATTGTGCACAGCTAATATCATTAATGAATGTCTTAACATCAGCACACTCACCACAAGGGACATTTTGTAGCTGGTTTTGATTTTATGTAGAACTCTAGAAATTTACAGCACAGGAGGCTGGATTCTCCTGCCTTTCCTCTCTTCCCCACCCACCAATACACACACAGATACACTTTTATTTCTCCTTTTCAGATATTCATCAAATTTCCTTTTAGAAGCTTTTCTGGATTCTGCCTCAATCATGGTTCCAGGGAGGGCATGGTTACTAGCAACACTGATGCAATAGTGCTGGTCGACAGAATTATGGTCAAGACTCTTCACCTAGGCTCTGTAATCACCTACAAGGATATAGTCACTAATCTTTACACTATATCCTATGAAGGGTTTTGAGATGTCCTCCTTACGTGAAAGATACTATGCCACATGAGAGGATTATTATTTTAAAATGAAGTTAAAACTGTTACAAGTAATTCATCTATAAAATACAGTCAATACACGTTACAGTAAATCCTGCAAGGACAGTCTGAGATGTCCTCCCAACATAAAAGGCTCAAATGCAAGGATTATTAATATAACAGCTGGATGAACGGATGGCCAGGAACAGATGTATAAGGGTAAAAGCTGTAGAAGATCAGATGCAAGGATTATTATTTAGGATTAAATCTATCTGTCCTTACTGTACAGTGTAATACTGTAAATGCTTTTCAGTGACAGCAAAGCAACCATCAGTTGAGTCAATCATCAGGACTAGCCAAGGCCTAACGGACATTGACCCGCTCTATCTTCCCCCACCTCCACATCATCACCCGGCTCCGCCACTGTCTCATACCACAGGCCGCTGAAACCCTCATTTACGCATTCATAACATCGAGGCTTGACTGCAAACTCCTTGCTTATCGGCCTCCCCAATTCCTGCTGTGCGCAATGGCTGCCAAGATTTGCCCACAAAATATACAATTCACTTTATAATATATTCTATGAAGCGCTTTGAGACGCCTTAACGACTTGATACGGTGGCAGTGTTGTTGGTCACCTTAGCAGTTCATCCGTTTTGTTCACACAAAAAAAGACAAAAGTTTGTTTTACTACCAGTGATTGCTTTTTATCATCAGTTGGATCATGTCTCAGTGAAAATATTAAACCCTTATGAAATACAGTCATTACATTCATTACAGCTACAATCAAAAATAAGAAAAATTCTATCAAAAAATCATCATTGGGCATCATCACTACATAGAGAATCACTGCTGTCTTATCCACAGCTGTCAGATCGGTTTTTAAACAATGTGCAATTTTAAGATTGACAATGAAGGCAAATGTTACTGAAACATGAATACATTTGGCCGTGTGCCCAAATGCTGGCGAATCTCAAGACGTTTTCCGTTCTGTTTAATTTCTTCTAAGTGCAAAATTCTACAGTGCATACACATATTAAAATAATCACACCCCTCTCTCTCTTTCATCTGGAATCTGCTTTTCTACAACGCACTGAGTCAACCTACCTACCAGACACTTTCAAATTGAAGCCTGCGTAAGCTCATTCGGAGACTCTGAGCTCACACCCTCCTTTTTCCTGTTAACATCCATCTCACCAGCAGTTGATGCAAATGCTCTGTCACAAAAAGGGAAGACTCACTTCGCAAGTGGTTACAAGTAAACCGCCACCTGCAACACATTTAGTGTCAAAATATTCTATTTCATGGACATCTTTATTCATTTTCTAATGTTATTCTGTAATGTAGGACGTGGAGTGGATATGAAGTGCTAATTAAGTGCACTGAATGGTTCATTTTATTTATGTCCAGAGCGATTCAAAGTCATGCCCAGAGGCTGGACCATTTGTTACATTTTAACATTCGCCCCAAACACAGGAGTGCTCCCATCACAAGTTTAAATCTTTCCGAGTGAAGGATGTGGAATTCGGCTGCGCAGCGGTGATGGTGAAGGATCGCCAGATTGCATCTGGCTTCAGTAAACATTGGAACGCTGCTGGTCAATGAACTAACGCAAAATCTGCAGTCGTGAGCTCTTTACTTTGGGAGGGGTAGTGGGGCCTTGTCTATTAAATTGCCGTAAACTCATTTCACTCTACTCTTCAAACAGCACAGACAGACAATTTGTCCTGATATCTCTTGGCTGGATTCAAACCCAGATGCAAGCACTATCAATCCGCTACAGCCTTCTGCCTCCAATGCTCTTCTGACCTCAGGTTTGCTCTCCCAATATAAACAAAGGGTTCAGAATACAGAATCCCTTTGAGGAGCAGGGTTAAACAATTGATCCTGGTTTGGGTTTGTAGTCTTGTTGGTAACAAATTGGAAAATGATTCCCATTTTTCTCTTTCATTACAAATTGGTTTTAACTTCATGCCTGAGGTCAGATTTATTTGAGCTGTGATTGTCTGAGGTTCCGTGTGCTTGGACTCATCATTCTCTCCTTCCGATCTACTGCAAGTGTCTGTTCATTTATAACAGCAAGTAGGACAGTTGCTTAGCGTCACCACCTTTTCTGGAACTGGTTTGTTTTAAACCCAACTTAAGAGCATTCTGCTATGCCATTGCCGCAATACCCAGAGGCTGCTAATCAGCACCAGACCTGGTTACAGGGTAAAGAAGCCTATTCCCAAACAGTCCTATTTCTTTAACAATACCCTGTAAAGAGTGACATCCCGTCAACCCAAAGTATCAACACTCAGGTTTCCCCACACCTCCCCACAATTGCAGTTGACGGCACAATAGAACTCTGATTTCTAAAGGACAGTCGGGTTGACACTTGCAGTGCCCTGGAGAATCAGATCAGAAGGAATTAAGAGTTAATCCTAGTCAGGGTTTGTAGTTTTGTGACCAACAAGGCTTGTCGGGTCAGCCACTGAGCCACGAGCTGTACCTCTTCCAGCTCCCTCAATCCACAATCCTAGCCACGGAAAAGCAGCCTCCAGGAATTCTGTGCTCTGCACTGGAGACATTGCTTGCGAATGGCATTCCCACGATGTATCCTGCTTCTTCGGGCTAGCTCACTGCACCTTTGAAGCTGAATCCCAATGACTGGGTTAAAGATATTGCTGGCTTCACACGTTCAAAATAACTATCAGGACGGCAGTCATTCCGAGCTGGTTAGCTGATTAACCGGGGTACCTTCCTGCTAAGGATCATATCGGTTACCGATAAACCCCTTTGGTTCCCCCCCCCATGCTAATACTGAACACATATGGCTGTTTACACCAAATAGGTTGCATAAACCTTAGAAAACATTTTTATTTGAATTCAGGAAAACCTAGTGTGATGGGGGTCTACATAAATCAGTTTGGATCAATGCTCTGTAAACAGGAGTGAGTACAATTCTGTCATGTGTTTTGTGCTGTATTGAGTCTATATTCATGATCCATGATGAACAGCTTTTACAGTCACACCCTCCGAAGAACCAGAAAACTGGCATTTTTCTCTGGGCTGGGTTGGAGCTTCCATCTCGATGTGAAGCAAAAATGGCTTAAACGGTAGATTCTGAGCCCACAGCACTGCAGTGTCTTCATTATGAGAAGCTGCTCTGCATTCAACAGCACAAAAAAGCCACCTTCCCTACAGCCCATGAGCCTTGCACCAATTGCTCATTCCGCACACTGCTTCCCACAGCTCCAGCTTCCCAGCAAATACTTGGCACTAATAGATTCTCAAAGAAATTCTGATATGACATAAACTCCTCTCCTCGTTCCATGGATGCGTTCGAAACTCTCAACTTTCTCTCACACATACACACACGCACGCACACACACACAAAGCTCCGCTCACCTCGACCTCACCAGGAGGCCGTGAGGAAGTCAAAGTGCCAGGATATCCAACTACAGCATTGAAGAAATACCAGATCAGAAGAGACAAGGAAATGTTACGGTCATGTTGTCACCACAGTGACCAGGACCATTATGGGTGGAAAGTGTGGCACAATGTAAAAGACGCAATCTATAACCATTTAACAGTATGTACATCCGGGGGTCCAATGAACAACATTGTAAGTAGGAGTGCAACAAGAACATGGTCAATTCTACAAACCTGGGGTGAGGTCTCACACCGGTACGGAATAATATCCTAATAACGAAAGACAGCTAAGGACACGAAGGATGGAATGAAACAGTTCTCAGAAAGGAATATTAAGAAATTGTCATTGCAGTCTGTGTAGGATTCCAGTGTCTGGAATTCGGCAGTGTTTAGGAATGATTTAGAAATAGAGGTCACAGCTTTACGCAGAGTGTGAACGTTAGCAAACTTGGTTCCCAGACCAGGTTCTTCACAGCCAAAGCTGTTATACACACACACACCCACACACAAAAACCAAACGATTCAAGGTTTGGACCTCATGTATGGTACTGTGTAAACTGGTTTCGTTGGAGGCACACGAGAGAAATCAAGACTGGAAACCCAAGAATTAAATGTTTATCTTGTGAGCGAGCTGTCCTGGAGTGGAAACTCACTGCTGGGATACCGATGGTCATCAACTATGTTTGTCGCCTCGGTCTGGAAAAAGAGGACATTGTTTTCAAAGTGGTTGACATCCGTCCATTCGTAAAAGGTTAGATGACCTGCAGCTGCCTCCCCCATTCCTGGACTTGTTGGCGGCCCCCAGTCTTAAATGTTCAAGTGCTTGGTGGCCATTCTGTAATCTTGTCTCCTTCAGGTCAGAAATACAGTGCTGGCTCACTGCTGTAGTCTGAGTGGGAGCTGCTATCTGCTGGAGTGAGCTGAGAACAAAATGGTACACAAGATCAGGATTGAATCCTATTCTGTTCAATGCAATTACAGCCGTTCACTTACTATCAGGTTCAATGGAAAGAGAGGGAGAAAGATAGACATAGAATGGGAGAGAGAAACACACACACACACACAGCAACGGAGGGAGAGAGAGAGAGAGAGAGACAAAGGGAGAGAGAAATGAAAATTTCCAGTTTTACAGCCATATCCTGCACTGTTAAGGCACAGGGTCTTCAATTACCATACACAGAAGAGAAATAACTCTCAAGCTAAGAGCACTTTCGATATTCAATGCTTTTCTGCACCAATGGAGCAGGCAGCAGTGGTGTGTTTACAATAAATTTGACACCCACAGCAGATGTAATGAAGTTTGGCTGGAAAAACACGCTCACAAAACGAGAGATTGAGTCGGCATCTGTGAGCCAGAAGCAACTGTGTTTCTCTCATGGTTTAAATGAGGTGATGGTCAAAAGATGTATGGCAAAGGAACTGTGAGCCACATTATATTATATTGATAACACTACTTGGCTTTGATGTGTTTGCAGTCCGTTTCTAGTCTCTGTGGAAATGCAGACCAAAATGATGGATCACATTTTCCTCAATTGAATTTGGCTCACCTCCTGCTCATGTGTTCACGTTAAGCACTTTGAGACATCAACCCGACATGAAAGGGGCTCTATAAATATAAACTGTAGCATTGTATTGCAACACTCTGGAGCGATTGAACTTATTCCCTTTGTATAAACCTGTAGCACAAGTGCTCATTAATGTGTTGGTTAAAGCAGATTCTTTAATCGTTTTTTTGGAAATGAATCTTTGTTTTCAGGGACTATTTCACATGTGGTGAGCACAAGCCCATCAGCCCCACCTTCGACTGGCTCCACTGCCTCCTCATTTCCCAACAGATAGACTTCCAAGATCTTCGTCCTTACCTCGCCACCACCCTACCTCTGAGTACTCCAGTAGTGCAACAGCCCCCCGCCCTGCCTACTTCTCTGTTCTGCCAACTCTTGACACACTTTACCTGAAATCGCTCTTTTGTATAGTGTTTCTAGCAACCACCTAACTGGCCTCCCTCTCTCCCTCCCACCCTCCTCAGGCTCCCACCATATATCTGTAAAAAGCTTCAAAACGGCCTCCTTTGTTAAAGGTGCTATGTAAATACAAGCTGTCGATAGTTACTCCAGGGAGGAAGAAGCATTTTTTTAAAATTAAAGCTGCTCTGGCCTTTGGGCCTTAAGACCCTAAATTGTATTCAGCAAGGCTGAAAGATTACATTATAAAACACACGGACACACTATCAATTTCTTTGTAAATTTGAATCCACAGGTGAGAAGGCAGTGCTTCAGAACACAGGGGATAACTGGAAAAGGCCACCAGTTATATACTTCATAATGAAATCAGAACATTGACCTTTCTCTCTCAAAACAGTTACCACTAATTCTGCTGACTGAGAGACACCAGCAATGTGAATCGCAGAGTAAAAGCAGGAACAGGCAACAAACAAGGAAAAAATGCCACTGGGATCAGTAAACTTGCTCCTTCCAGACCAGGCCTAATCTTACTCATATTAGACTCTGCTCACACATTGAATCCCCTGATGGGAAGTTCAGAATAAAATCTCCCTGATCTCCAAAGAAAATGAAGCAATCCTCAAAACGTTCATCCCTACCTTATCTCGACCATTCCCAAGGCGCTGAATGTCAAGTACCTTGTGAATACCATTATATAAATGTAATTTTGTGTTGTATTCAAATCTATTATGTTTACCGCCATAAACAGCTCCCAGCTCCTTCTCTCAAACCTCAGTTTCTAGTCACAAACCACATTTATCAACACGCTATCCTCTGCTAGGTTTGCTAACTCATCCTTTTCCTGTGCAGGAAGCTAGTGCTTTGGTGCACTTAATGCACCTTGCTGACAAATATGACCCAGGTTTAAACCTAGATTCAATACTCTGGAAATACCTGATCTCAGCTGATACTGAGATGTCGGCCCAAACGCATATCACCTTCAAAGCCCTCCATGGCCTTGCTCCTTCCTACCTCTGCGAACACCTACCCCCTTCCAACCAGTCCACTCCCTCCGCTCAGCGGCCTCCAGCCTGCTTCATGCCTCCGACCCACAGTCCCTCCACCTCATCCATTCCCTTGCTTCCTTCAAGACCCGTCTCAAGGCGCTCCTCTTTGAGCGCGTCTTCGGTCACCCTCCTACCCCTAGCCTCCCCGCCCTCCACCCTTCCTGATCCTAACCACCAGCTCAAGTTCGGATCCCTGACTATCCAACGCCTTGGGACGTCCTCCTGACGCGGAAGGCGCTATACAAATGTAATTTGTTATCGTTGTTAACCTGGCACTGACGGCCTAGAATTCACACTGCAACACTGCACACACACACTCACCATGGCATCTTCCTGAGAAGACTCTGTGTCCTTCAGAGAATCATCCCTACTGGAGAGTGTATCCTCGAACTTTTGTTCCTGCCACGTGTTGAACTGCATTGCGTGTTTAGGAGTGTAGTTTGACAGGGCTGTATGGGGGTGTGAGGTTGAGGGAGGAGGGAGGGAAAGAGGCAGGTTTTAAAGGTACTGGAATCACATCACAAGTGTCTCATCTGAAGTTTGATGGCCTAACTAGGTTTTGGTAATATCAAGCCATTTCCTATATTTTTAAAGTTTAGTTTATACTTATTCCCCTAACTTACCTTTACTAACAAAATACGCATTCATTTCAAACCTAGTATTTACTTACCTCAGTTTTTCCTTCCCACTCCCACCGTCCACATTAGAAGATTTGATTTAACTAGCTGGAGTCTGTCTGGCTGTTGATGCCAATTTTCCAGCCAGAAGTGCGTGAACCAACCCAAACAGCAAATTGAGCTGGCCTTATTACATTCATTCATTCAGAATTGCAGCGGGTCAATGGAGGCTCCTGTCTTCTGGACATTTGCACCCTGAAGTTTCACTTCAACTGAACACTTACCTGAAACAAGTGGATTGGTGCGTAACGGACTGCCCGAGGATGATGGGGAGCTGGTGTAGTTGGGGCGTGGAATAAAGAAGCTCGAGGATGTCTCTTCCTCGTCATCTTCACTCTCGTCAGATTCTTCCTCCTGAACAAGAGAGCTCTCAGAGGGATACTCGAACGTGGTGTGCAAGCTGGAGTCGTTGAAAGAAATCTTCAGCTGGAAAGAGAAAAAAGGGAATGAGAAAAGGAATATTAATAATAATAATCCTCACATTCATCCGGGGACATCTCAAAGCACTTCACAGGATTTACTTTACTTTATATTTCATATACTGCATATTTTAGATTTCACATAAATTACATGTAAATAAAATCACATATAAAGTTCATATGAAGCTAATAATCGTAGTCTCGGCTCCCCATTCCAACCGGATCTGGAACGCACTGCCTGAAAGGGTGGTGGAAGCAGATTCAACAACAACTTGGATTTATATAGCGCCCTCCACGCCGGACGGCATCTCAGAGCACTGAGATGTATTCGATAGACGTTTGCAAAAGGAAATTGGAAATGTATTTGAAAAGGAAAAACTGGCAGAGCTATGGGTAAGAGCGGGGTAGTGGGACTAGTTGGATAGCTCTTTCAAAGACCTGGCACAGGCACGATGGGCCCAATGGCCTCCTTCTGTGCTGTAAGGAGTCCAAATCCCTGACTGCCCAGCGCCTTGGGAAGTCCTCCCGACGTGAAAGAGGCTATACAAATGTAATATTGTATTGTAAAATTCTATGATTCTATGTTTCAGTCTAAAAGTAATTAACTGGTAACTAATAACGTCATTCTATGTACAGCAACCTTTGCCCTGACACAGTAGCCAGAGTGAGCACCCACTTTCAGATTTCCCTCTGTGTAACAGTCACAGCTGCGTAAATTGAAAGGTGAAAGATTGTCGGATTTAGAGGTCCTTAAACACTCAAGCTGACTCAGGAATAGGCACCTCATTTTTCATTAAAACAAAATCCTAACAATAAAATAGGAAATTGACGTTTATGTCAGATATCCCGCCCCCCCCCCCCCCAACGCCCTGGAATTTAAGAGTTCATCAGTGGAAACTGTTTGCAATAAATCCAGTGCAAACAATGAATGTTCTACAACGCACTCTTGTGCAGGCAGGGTGTGACCTGCTTGCCAGCTCTGCTTTGAACCCACTTAACAAGGACTCTACAATGAGTTTAACCCTTCCGGCTCCAAATCTTTTCAGCCGGGTGTCTGACGCATTTGAAAACCCATCACCATCGTTGTGAGTATCCAAACCAAACTGAGATTTCCATGCAACCCACCGATACATGGAGATTCCAGAGATAGATGTGGGTAGTGGGGTGAAACGAGGTCGGAGAGTTAGGGAGTGCCAGGGCATGAAGTAATCTCAATGAGGGTAGAGTATGGGAGGGGGTGGGGGGTTGGTGCTAAATATGAAGTTGCCATGAAATCTCTTGGCCTCCTCCTATTACTCCTGGCCCCCAATTTAAACTGTTTAAACAGTCAAGTTCCACATCATCTACTGCAGTTGTTTTAAAAAACAAGCAAAGCGATCAAGAGATTTTCCGGTCTTTTTAAAAAACATACACATCACCACTCAGGTCTAACATCTGGACATTGCTGCGCTTGCCTGTGCAGACCAGCCACAAACCACCGGCCTAGCTTTGTGCCAGGTCAGTCACGTGCTCAGTAATACCCTTGCAAAAAAAAAACAGAAGTTAAATAGCTCAATTGATGTAAAGTAAATCCAATCACGGGGCCCAAGAAAGCTGTTGAACGCCAGCTTTAAGACAATAACCCCCTTCAAAGGGCCAAGGATTTAAAATGGAGGGAAGAGAGAGGGAGCTTAAATTATTTTTAAGTGATTCAAGTGTAACAAAATACATGATGTGATGAGCAGACTGAGTCACCTTTTACCACTGGATATTACGAAGTAAGTGGTGAAAGATTAGTCTAAAGCCACAGGCATTATTAATATAGTCACTCTATGTGGAAATTCCTTCCAAAACAACAATAATAATAAATTGGTCACTCAATCCATGACTTTTTGTGGGACACTGCTGTGCGCAATTGGGTGCCTTGTTTTGCCCACAAAATATAGTCAATTCACTTTACAGTATATTCTGTGAAGAGCTTTGAGATGTCTCAAAGACGTGATAATATATATATATATCAAATGCAAGGATTATTATGTGGCCTGAAACTGACCAAAGCATAAAACATGTTCTGAGTATACAAGCCTACCACTGTGGAAGCCTCTAATCCAGAGTATCAACAGTGCTAACCTACAGCAGTACGTACCCACACTGATTCGGGTGGCTAACACGGGCACAACCACTACCCTCCAAATGTGAAGACACTGGTTTTGAGTATGTGGGAACATCTCACGCAGTAACACATCCTTGGTCCATGCTCTGAATTGATCAAAATCTTCAAATCCAAAAACTCTGTTGGGAAGTCTTCTGTTTCGATTTGACAAACTAGCTACAGGCACAGCCTATTACACTACTGTATTTATTCAGCTAGTCAATGAAATATAAAGCCAGTAGGCAACACTCACTGACCCAGCGAGATTACACTTCGAAACAGTGCCACTATGTCCCTTAAACAGTGCCTCTGTGTCCCTTAAACAGTTCTGCTGTGTCTCAAAGTCTGGCAGTGACGACTCCATTGCGAAGCTGAGCATTTTAAATATAATAACCTAGGGTAATTGCTGTGCACAGTGTTTCTTACAATGGGTGACTTTCAACAACACTGATCTGCAGTTAATTAGCTCCAAAGGACAAAAGCGTCTTTCAGTGCCTGAGGGCTCAAAACTTTGAGCACAAGAGACAGGTGTAGTGAGAATTATTAAACTGTGCACAACTGATTCTGTTACAATTGGAATTGACTCCACATCAAGATTGTGCCAAGTTAGAAACAACTGTGTATTTGCAAGTGAAATAAATTTAGCACTTAATAACTACCAAATGTTCTAACAGAGAGGATGGATTGCCTCGGATTTGTATGAAGCTTGGCCCCAATAACACATATCATATTTATTGTCGAGGAAGAAGCGTTTCTACACCTTCCTGAGACTGACAGAGTTGCAGATTCTGTCGACCATCCTGTGGGGTGGAATCCAAACCAAGATACAGAAACATGTGCGTTTGTTTCAAAGCTGAAACAGAGTTATTTTCTGTCCTCTGCACTTTCCTGCAGTCTGCAGAAAGCTTGCATGGGCCAGCAAGTAAAGAACTCAATCCACGACTGTTTGTCGTTTGTGGGACACTGCTGTGCGCAACTGGCTGCTGCATTTCACCCACAAAATATACAGTCAATCCACTTTACAGTATATCCTTTGAGACGTCTTAATGACGTAATAAGGCGCTATATCAAAGGCAAGTATCATTGTAAACTTAGGTTGTCCTCTCGCCAACCTGTGCCTAATACTTTCTCAGTTCCAGTAAGCAAAGTACATGATGAAATTTCCACTACGTAACAAATGAAACTCTATCCCAAACAAATGGAAATTTGCATGCGTATGTAGAATAGAAGTCTCAGCGGTTTGGTTTGGATATTCTGAAGTATGGCAAGGGCTTTCTGCGTATGTCGCACTTAGTTGACCAAAAAAAAATTCAAGTTCATTCCTCTTAACTCGAGCCTGTTCCAGTAAACGCCCACTGCTTCTGTCCTCCCACGAGCCCAGATTCCCTGCGCTGCTTTGAACATCCATTTGTCCTAATGAGAACCAGGGATTCAATACATTTTGAACACAGCCTTAATACTGGTTTGCATTTTCTCAGCATAGTGCAGGATGCCCATTAAACTCACATTGATTTAAATCACTGGCAGGTTTGGGGATTTAAAAGACTTCCTGCTACATCAACATTTCAAGCTATCAAAGCAGGCAGCAGGGCCAGGTCACTGACTGACAGAAGGTCTGGGAACAACACAAGTCTCTCCAAAGTAGTCGTTCAAGCCCCGCATTAGGATGAGAGGATGCTGCAAATTGGCTGCCATGTTTACCCATAAACAGTATATATTGTGAGGCGCTTTGAAATGTCCTCCCAAAGTGAAAGGCATTATATCACTGTGAGACACTTACGTTAATAAACTTAAACAGCATTCCTGCCGGTATGATAGGTAAAACAGCTTGATACTTAGCACCAGTCAACATGTAGGTAACGGTGCAATCGGTGTCAGCCTGACGCGGTTGGTAGCACTCTCATCTGCGAGTCAGAAAGTTGGGAGTCAAGCCCTAGGTCGAGACTTGGAGTTCACAGTCTAGACTGACATTAGAATACAATGCAATGCTGGGGGAGCGCTACATTGATAGAATGGCTCTTCAGATGAGATGTTAAACTGAGGTCCCGTCAACTGGCTTAGGTGGACATTAAAGATCCTGTGCACTACTCGGAAAAAGAGAAGCGAGTTTCTCTTGGCGTCCTGGCCAAGAATCTCCAATAATGTTGGTCATTCACTTCATGGCTGTTTGTGGAACATTGCCGTCTGTAAATTAGGCATTCCACTTGACAGGAAAATCCTGTGAACTACTGAAACGTTTCAACAACAGGATTCGACACCATATGAAATGCAAGTATTAATATTACGTAGGGCACCAATGATTTTTTGTTTGGTGGGGAGGGAGATACTTAAACTTTACACTAACTTTATCTGAGTGAAAAAGCTGAAATTAGCCAAACATTTCAAACTGTTTAGCACCAAAACATGACATCATAACTGCTCGATCATTCCGTGTGCCAGATCTTCTCCTCCCCCATTTTCACACCAGACACCATAGCTATGTTTTGGACTCACCAAAGCTTCCTGGTTTAGTGTGCTAGACTCTCCGCCAATCCATACCGGATATCCTGCTACTGAGGGCACCAGGGTAAAGAGCTATTTGAGGAATTAGCCACGAGAATAGCGAAGTGCGCTCGCGCCTAATTAATCGGGCAACAGCAGTTGAAGAATAAATATGGGATTATGCTTAACCCAGTAAATGCCTCGTCAATGCAATCCCTCACTTCACCCAGAGTTTGACAGGCACGGACGCGCATCAGTGAACGTGAAGTTACCCCTCGTTTCTCAGTTTTGTGTTCTGCTATTTTGCGGAGTTTTTGCCAAGTTCAATGACATAATGCCAGAGGCCTTTCCCACGAGAACTTTCTGACATTTTTCGTTCAGACATGAAAAACAAA